GATCCGTAGAACAACAACAAAAACGAGAAACAAAGAAATGGAGCATTTGAGCACATATTAACTTCACTGCATACTACATATTTCAAACGACAGCAATAAACAATTGAGTTGATAAGCCATTGATTACTTAGTGTAAGTTGAATGAATTGTAATTTCTTTTCGTTGTTTCTCGATGTTTGTTTCATATTATAACTATTCCTTTCCACTTGTTTAACCATTCCAAAATTGTGAATGATGAGCATCGTACTGCATGCAAGTTAGTTTCGACACCTAGTATTATAGTCTTCTAGTATGTTCATGCAATGCGGTGCGCATTGATCACTGTTTCGGAATAGTGGAAAATGTTCTCCAAGAATACAATTCAATTTTAGCGATTGACACTACTATTTTAATGAGATATTCAGTCTACAAATTTAATGGAGACAGAGAGAGATTCGATAATATTGACAATTGTTCATTTTCATTCAAAGTTTCATGGTACCAAATTGTTAGCAAAAAAAGAGAATATATATGAACTAAATTAAATCGTTGCTACGTTAACGCTTAATGCGCTACGTATCTATCTTTATGGTTGATTCCATTTGAGATTCGATATCGAGGTGATTCTATAGTCAAAATTACGATTGATACATTCAATGCTGTAATGTTGAATTGAAAGAAATAGTGTTTGAATAATTCTTGTGATAATGTGATGAAAATGTCAAACAAACTACAGATGAGCAATCAATAATTCCTTCAGTTTTTGGTTTTCTTTTAATCGAGCTTCAAATAGACTAAGTATTCAATGAACATTTGACAATGTTAACAAAGCACGAAAAGAACATTAGTTATTCTGTAGCAGAGAGCGAAACCAAATCGAACAGGCGAATGATTCGATTTGATTTGTCTGAGTCGAATCAAATCGAATCTGAATTAATTTTTTGAGAAAGTAAGTCGAGCCGAATCGAATCAGATTGAGATGCATCATTCGGGTTTTTTTTTCTTTCGATCACATAATAATATTACATGATACTGATAATTGGTTCAAATGAACATACATATACAAAAGAAAATGACACCAATTTAGAAGTTGTAATTCACTCCTTCTAATTGTTATAAACAGATGTGTTAAATTTGAACGTTTAATGAAATGACACAGACGTATACTGTAATCTACTTATTCTGTGATAAGTTAAGTACTTTTTTTGATAAATATTTATTGACCACTGTGCAAAGAGTCTGTTGTTATAATATATTTCATAATAAAACTAAATTTTATTCTTAACGATAGATATGTATCAGCAAAACAAAGTAAGTATCTATTAATATTAATATCGATATTGCTTAGTTATGCCTGCTCATTTATTCTTTCAACTGTTTTAATTATTGCTTTTGAATAAAGGATTTTTATTAAAACAAGCTTTCAGGATTTTATTACAAATTGTTTTGACTAATTTTCGTAGCAATTGGTTCTTGTTCGTTCCATTTCGGAAGATGCACTCAGTTTGTGAAATCGCGACTGTTCAAGGATTAAGTATAGCCTTATTCTGGAGCCCATTAGTATCGAAATTTTATGAGTAATATTATTCCATGAAATCTGCTTTCTATTTCACTTGTGTTACAAAACAAAATGATCCCACAATCTGTATGAACATGCCATGCGTAAAAAAAAGTGATGAGGAAATAGAAGAACAAATAGCTTATGCAGAAAAGAACAGCAGAACATATATAGCAAATACAATGTACAAAAAGAATAGTATTATTTTTATTCTTAGTGTTTGGCGAATTAAATTCAAATGAAGATTTGATCTCAATTGTGTCTCTCAGACAATAATAGACTGGTCGATATGACATAGTAAAAAAGCCGAACTTTTTCACTTATTATCCTCTTTTGTGGAACTCACATATATTTTCGAAGAAAATAGTGAGTGTAAGTTTTAAGTTCAAGTTTTCGAGCTCCCCTTCCTTCCCTCCACCCCATTGCAAACACTTAGCAACATAGGTCCCCATTGCAAACACTTAGCAACATAGGTCCCCATTGCAAACACTTAGCAACATAGGTCCCCATTGCAAACACTTAGCAACATAGGTCCCCATTACAGACACCCACCCCCCATTACTTTTTCGAGCTTTTTTTTGGAAAATTGATGAAGTTATAATTTTGAAAAATAATGAATATCATTATTTGTGACTTGATTACTATATATATATATATGATAGTGTGTAAGGCCTGCTGTAGATATGTAAAACACACTTATTTATGAATTAATTCAATGATTATAATTATAAGAATGATAAATTAAGAAAAACGAATTAAAACAAATAAAAAAATAATGAACAAATAGCAACAATGCAAACAAAAAATAGGACGCCCATAAAAAAAAAAGTGTAAAAAAAATTCTACTTGAAATACAGAATTAGACAGGTTCTTACTCTTGCGATTGATTATCCTGCAAAACAACTATAGTCTAAGAGAGATTTTTCAGTTAACATATTTTGTATTCGTTGAATGAGGCTAGAGAGCATATGTGAGTTCCACATTTCAGCCCCAAAAGGGGCTGCGCTAAGAAGTATTTTTGTTTAATCGTTCGATTGTGATAATCTGAATAGGAGTCTGCAAAAAAACTAAATTAATGATCTTCATGTCAGTAAACCTCTAAATTAAACGAACAGTATAATCATCATTACTTGTATGAAGAAAAAGAAATCGATGGATTGCTGAATTGACATTTTGACACATTATCTGCTCGTATTTTTCGTCAAGGTGAAAAAGAGTGTGCATATGCTTCTTTTTTTCTGCTCTTCATGCATTAAAATTTACTAGAAGAAAAAGAGGCATAATTTGTTGCAGTCACAATAGTCTTATTCACTATTTCGTGTTCGTTTTGATCTGTAAGATAGTGCATCATGCTATTCTTCGTCGACTAGCTTTGTTCGTACTACGTTGATATATATATTAATTGTCCAGTGTAAGCTGGATCTCATTCATCACAAACTCATCTTCTGATTAGAAGAATTTATTAGCGATTCTTCTTATTTTGTTTCTTGATTATTGCAACAAAAGAGTAAATAAAAAATGATAAACGAGTGTTTGTACTTCGTGTCCACGATAGGAATATTGACAAAAAACGTGTTGCAGTACTACAAATGATTTCGATAAAGAACTGTAATCTTTGGCAATTACAAAAAAACAATATATTTATTCCTACAGTCGAAAACGAACGACACAACTGCTTAGTTTTAACCGTTCCTTCTTCACACTAACGTCGTTTCGTTTCATATTTATAGTACAGATACATATTTTGTTAATCAGTATACGCTAAGAGTTTCAAAAATAAACAGGAGAATTTGTTGACCCAGCTGAAGTATTGTTTTTTTTATACAGCTCACAAAAGGTTACAGTTTTCTATCGAGGTCATTTGCAGTACCTCAACACAGTTTTTGTCAACGTTTTTCTTGTGGACATGAACTACGAACGACCCTTTATTAGTGATGAAAGTATCAACCAATTTTGGTCAAAATATAACGGAGGCACCCCGACTTTTCTTTCGTCAAGGAACTGCTGAGCGACTCGTTATTATTCAAAATGATAAACTAATAATGAAATCAAATCGAAGTATCCTCTTCTCTTCTAGTCTTGATGGCAAATGTGATTAACTATTAGATGAGATTATTGTTCAACAAACGTTTGAGATCAATTGGAAAAATTCTGTACGCAACTCAACAGTGTAATGAATAAATTTTTTTTAACAGACCAGAATGTACAAAAGAAAAAGTGTAATCATTCGAAATCGAAAGACAAATAGAAGCATTCAGTATTTCTCTTATCAACAAAAAAGAAGAATCCTGCGAGATACTATATGATTCTTCTTCGTTTTGAACACAAATAATGAACGTCAACATTTTGGGTTGGGACATCTGTAAAAGATGCGAAAACCTACTTTTTTTTGAGTCGGAGAGAGATCATCGCATGCACTCTGTTTTTTACGATCAGTAAACACCCAGCGAACATCTGTAATGAGAAGAGCGCCAAGAAATTTTAATCCATTCGAAATATGAGAAATGTGCTCTTGGCATCTTTCTTGAGTTAGAATATAAAGAACTTATATGTTAGATTCATGTCTACTTCTTACCGTTCTTCTTATTACGGGCGTTCGTTTTCATTTTTGAGTACGCTCCTAGAGTCAGTTAGACGATTTCGAACTATTAAGGAAACCACTTTTGACTTAAAAGGGATTGAGGCTTTTCGTATCTTTTTGTTGAAACTAGGGCAGTTAGTAGATATTAAAGAAAGGCGCTCACCTTCAATGCGATTGTTGGCACACATGTCATATTCGAGCACATTTTGTAGACATATATTGATCTTCTTCATCCAATCTCAGTACTGTGTCGTCGAAGCTACGTGTAACGCATGAATTATACGAAATGAATAGAAGATATATGTACGTAACAGAAAAAGTCAGATTGAAAATTGTTATTCTATTTAAATGGACTGCGTTCCTATTAACGACATCATTTCTGATGGACAATATTCATGATAAACAGAAAGAAGAGGAACGAAAGCTCATGAAATACTATATCATTATTTTTTGCTCATTGTTGTCTATTGTCGTGGCAAGGAAATGTTGACATGTTAGATAATTGGATTTTTCTATTAATTTCTAGATTAAGAATATATCCTACGATCGGCAATCGACAATTAACATGGTAAAAAAGTATGATTACTATTTCATATTCTGAAATACTTCACAGAATATTCAATACTTGTCACACTATTAACTTTTTTCAGTTGTGCATCTCGTCCATGTCTCATTGTATAGGCAGTGCTTCCTAGCATAATTTTGGTGATTGTTCTCAGTCTCATACCCGTATATATTGGAAGTCACTATGGTAATAATGTCCATAGCCCACTTTTTTGGCTTCTCTTTCACTATTACAGTAAAATCGACAGTCTCTATTCACCATCGACAGGCAGTTGGACAGCGATTAATCCAATGCGTCAAGAGCACTATTTTCATACAATGACCTTGCTTAGTAATAGGGAACAAGTATTGGTCACTGGTGGATGGAGTAGTGGAAATTATGGAGTTCAGCTAAATACAGCCGAAATATATAGTATCAGTACAGGAGTATGGACATACACTTCATTTCCCATGCCTGAAAAATGTGAATTACACACAGCGACACTGTTGGGTAATGGACGTATACTCATTGCTGGTGGTAATGTGTCAAATGCATATTATTATGATGCAAATGTCTCTTCATTATGGATACCCACAAAATCCATGACACAAAGCAATCGTCGAGGTCTAACAGCAACATTACTCTATGACGGTCGTGTACTAATTAGTTGAGCATTGGTTTGCTTGCGACCGTTCACATGTTATGCTATATTTGATCGCGTATGAGCTCGTTATGTTAACTTTGATGAGCGAGAAAACTTGAGGAATGTCTTTCTAATGCTTGTTCGTTTACTGCGATATATTTAATAATGGTTGGTCGACGAAGAATATTACTTAGATTAAGCGAATTACTTGAACAACGGCATCATTTAGATTATTCGTTTTCATGTGTGGTCATTATTGACAAGCGAAATCCATGAGATTGCTTTGAGGCGAAGTAGATGGTTGAACAACCTGCTAAATAACATTTCTATTCACGATGTGGCTGACTTCCATATCGGAAAGTTTCTTTATTAGCATGAAAGAATGACGTGGAGTTAAGATGGAAATGTGTGGATTTTGCTGAACTTTGACGGCGTTCAGTTTGGGAACTGCTCTTGGGTGGATGTTTATGTTGGTGAGTAGGTGAAGTGGAGAAACAAATCCATGTCCTCAGTTGTAACTGGGAAGAGAACATGTTTGCACGAATATTTCTCGAGTCGTAACAAAAATGCGCGCCATGAAACGTTTTGATCGAACTGTCAAAAATAGTTTCAAAAACTATTTAACGGTTTTTAAAAATTTAAACCACCGAAATTCGTCTGAGGAAAAAATTACACACATATAGCAAAGAAAATTTTGAATTTTTTCGGCAATTTCCGGACATATTTTCGACATCTGGAACCCATCTACGCATTTTCATAAAACAATTTCCAAGAACATATTGTGATAATTAGGAAAAGTTTCGTAATAAGTACACACAGTTTGCGATAATTTCTGGAAGTGCCGTCCATTTCGATTATGCTTTTTCTCATTGATCTTTTCTTTTTTTCTTGAGAAAAGATAGAAGATAAGAACAGAAAAGTTACGCATAGTGTAGACTTTCATCATCGCACTTTTGTAATGTCTTTCAATGACTCATCGATTTCATGTTAATTATTGAAGTTAAAGGCAGTCATTTCTCCCTGAGCAAAGAAGATTATTACATGAATTAGATGTGTTTTCATAGAGTCACATTTTCGACAGCATGGCCGAGCGGTCTATGGCGGCAGTTTCAAGCACTGTTCTTTCGTGGGTTCGAATCCTACTGTTGTCATCTGGAATTTTTTTTTATCAGATGATCTTGGTCATGTTGAAAAAAATAATTCCTGTAATTTCAATAAAAAGACATAATGCAAAATCAATCAAATTTATTTTATTTAATATCCGAAAAACATTGAAAACTAATCGAACCAATGAAATGTTTTTGATGAAATAGACAAAAACTATCATTAAAATGGAATTAATTTTAATATTCGACTTTCTCGAAAGCATAATTTGTTTTTTTACGATGAGAATCTGCTTACTTTAAGGACTATATTAATAAATGAAATCAGATGTACCGTCTACCTTTCGATGTCTTTGGGCACGATGCATATGAAGAACCAAGCCACGTAAGTTATGCGTGCTAATTCTTTCATATAAATTATTCTCATCAGGCTGATACTGTTTCATACTTGATAGCATGAAAATTACGACCTTCTCAATTCTGTATTGTTCTGTATTGATGAGCTCACGAAGATAAAGTTATTTGCATCAGTTGTTCATCGCTTTTTCTCAGCGAATTGTTTTGGATCAGAAAATCTCCACTGTCAAACAGATACCGTGCTATGTTATTATACAAATAAAATCGCGTATAATCGATTTATGTTCAAACACTATTCTTGTTTTAATTAGAAATGAGTTCCTGTCAAGCTATAGCAAACGATATTTTATTTACAATTTCTTAGACCCAACATTTTCAAAATGTTTTTCCTCACACCTATAGTGCTCAAATCTAGTATATTGTCATACTTTCTGAACTTAGCAATGAATTAATACATAAGCTTCTTCTTCGAGTTATATTGAATTTCTTTTTCAATTTTTCTTCACAACCTTTCATATTTTTAGCGGCATTTTCCACGAATCTTTTCATTATCTTGCATTTTTTCCATGATTTGACGTGATTTTTCATCAGTTTTCTACGAATTTTCATGAGTTTCAATGACTTAGCAGGACTTTGTATGATTTCAACATCATCTTTCTTGATTCAATATGTGTTTTCAACATGTGACCGTTACTTTTCATGAGTTTTGGCTGGCTGCTAATCATTTTCACATGTATTTGGTCATGACTTTAGCATAACTTTTCATGTCTTCTCCATGACTTTTTACGACCCCGTGTATTCTTCATGAGTGTAAGGTGACTTTTTATGAGTTTCCACAGTTTTATCATGTCATTTTGTGACTCGTCATGGGTGTTATAATGGGTGATATTAGCGTGCCTAGGCGGAGACGGCGACGTTGGAACTTGAATATTTTTATTCGCTTCATCTAAAATCCTTCTTTTTTGCTGATCAGATTCCATCGTGAAAAATCAAAGTACTGTGTCTCTCAGTGTGGATATCTCTGTGTTGTGTACACTTCTATACAGTAAATATGATGTCATCAATGCATGACTTATCGAAAAGCTATCTGATTACAAAAAAAAAGTGCAGTTATCGATAAAATTTCAATGTATTTGTAATAAATGAAGGGTGATGCAATTTTATTGAAAAATATTTTATTTAAATGCTGGCCGAATACGTGTAAGTGAATCGTCCGTTCGGTGCTGCATCGCCTTTGTCGATGAAATTGAGCGGACTCGTTGTATACAATCGATCAGCTGAAAACCATTTGAATTGTAAAGTCATTTTAGTACCACTGATGTTAAGCAACCGATGTGATAGAGCAAAATGTAATTCATTGTCGCCACTATTGACCACTGTAACATTAGCTTGATATTGCCATTGACCAGAAGAATCAATACTTTTCTTTAATTCACCAGCGCCCACATCAACTAGATAATCGAAACCGAGCCAACCTGTCCGATAGTTATTATCTGTATTAAGTAATAACCAGTTGAATGCATTGCCGTTCAACCAGGGTGTACGCGAACGCGCATAGAAATAGACATTTGAAGCATCACGTGCAACTTGCATGACTGCTAAATCATTCTTCTGTGAAGTATCAATAAGGTGGCCACCTTTATTTCCGTATCGTGAATGATTACATGTTGGTATGTCACAAAGATCGTCAAGATAGAATGGACCAACGCCATGCCATTGTCGAAAATCTTTATTGATCAATATCGTTTTTGGCGATGTTGGTGATTGTATTGGCGACATACCTTTGAAACGTCGAATATAGCCGACTAGTTGATAATAATAATTATCGCCATATCCCCCTTCCATAGGTTCTGCATCACGTGAATATTCTTGACTAAATAGATCAACAAAATATGTTGTGTTTACCGACCAATTTTTACCGAGAAAAGGAATTGTTGGATTTTGTTGCAAGAAACGTTGTGCAATCCATTCATTCCATCCTGTGATAAAAATGAATGATGGATCGATTTGCAATGCACGTTCCCATTGTTGTGAAAAATATCTTTCACTAGATGGATCATGATTATTAGGCTGTGTATGTGATAGTCCGTCGTGTGAACGACCGAGGTTCGATGTTGGATGGTCATTAATAGTGACGGTCGTTTGTTCATGTTGACCTTGCTCATTTAAACCAAATCCTTGTGGATAATTGTCGATTCAAGGCCATTTTCCTCGACCATCACCATACCATGCTGTACCTTGTGTCCACGCCCAGGATGTTCGAATGGTAAAGAAATTACGTACTTCGGGACTAAGACCATCCGTTTTGGCAAAAATCAACGGTTTTCCATTCTACTGAAACCATAAATTTTGATAAAAATTTTGTTGATATAGATTTCTGTAGAGTTTTTTAACATTTTCTTGACTTCTAGACCAAGTTATGAAACAAAATTGAGGTGTGCGAATATGTTTCAATCGCATATCAGTATAAATATTACCAATTTTTGACCAAATGTTATCATATGTGATTGCGTTCGGCACATCAAAAACAAGCGTATCAACACCGGCATCTGCTAACATTTGTCCATGTTTTCGAATGACAAATTCATCATCCATTAAATAATAGCCTAAATAGGGTTTTTCCCAATGGTGAAAGTGATGCACAGGATCCCATTGAGCCTTGGTCAAATCTTCACTGGTTTGAGCCATAATTTGAGTAATATCATGTGGGCCTGATTTGGGACCGGCACCATTTTCGGTCCATAGAAAATAGAAGATGTCTACGAATTTATTCGGCTTTGTATTGCCCACTTCAGCATGTGTAGGCAAAATACGATTTCGTCCATCGCATGCTGCTCATGTATCAGGTCGCGTCGTAAACTGTCCACTGATCACTGCGACACATTGTAAAACAATGAGAAGTGCGATAAAAATCATTTACATTTCTTAATGAATATAACGGCAACCATTCTACACCATTGTGAAGAAAATCGAATTAGATATTTGATACAACAAAAATAGTAACTCAAAACAGTGATGCTTTTTCATGAGCCTTGCGCATATTCTTCATATATGCCCATGTAAATTTATCTCGCCTACAATTAGATGAAGATCTGAGCTCTTATATATAAAGAAAGATTACTCCAGAAGCTTGAGTACCACCTGTGGTGACATAACCATCAGCACAATGTTGGTGAAGTATTCATGAAAGATCAGACCACTCACGAATACATTCAAATCAAAACTAGGATGATGTATGGGCGTGGATATGCATAAGCGTAGATAAGATTTTTCTATTCAACAATACCTACGCCCACCCTCATCCACACCCACACCTACCCCCTGCTTGTTCGTTGTATAGAGCTTTCTTGCAATATTATTCGACTTTGAAATGAAAAATATTAAAATGAGTTTTCTGAAAAAATATTCAGACATCTGACCCGACCCGATGTTAAAAGCATTTTTCGCAACCCGACCCAAGTCGGACACTGGTCTACATGGTACATTCAGAATTAACCAATCAAGGAAGGTCCTTCATCGCATCACATCTTTCAATTAATTCAACTAGGAATGGATAATAAATGAATCCACGTAAGAGTGAATATATTTGTCTTTCATTTAGATGCTTTAAATGAACACGAACAGGATCAATTTCATAAAGATCTGGAAACGTTGAAAAACGTAAGTCAAAGACTTGTTTTAGTTAATAAAATATCTTTTATTATTTAGAGTTGCGATCAATATCAAGATTTAATACTTGGGATAAAAAACTTCAATCATCTTGATGAAGAAGAGCGACAATGTATTGCAATGAAGCTCGTCTTGGTACAATTCAATGATGGTAATATAATTATTAATTAAGATAAACATGGAAATTATTTTTTCATAATTGTCAAAGGTATAAATGATAAATAAATTTTCGTTTCTTTTTTCTTAGTTAAATTTTGTTTTAAATGTATTTAGGCACCGCGCTTGTTTATCAAGCCGCAAAAGATGAACCATCTATTAAAATTTCAAGATTAGGTCCAAACGATTATTTCAGTGCTAAAAGCTTATTATTTAATCAAGCAAATGGTGCATCAGTTAAAGCACATGGATCATCAACATGCGTTAAAATGGCTCAAGAAGATTTTGAATCTGAAGTGGCATCGGTACTTATTTTTGTAAAATAAAGAGCAGGACAATACATGGCATTCCTTAGTTTGTCTGTTTAGTTTTTTTATATTATTCAGTAATACAATTGGCATATTTGGTCCATTTCATTACAATCTTTAAAAATGAACAGCAAACAGAATGTGCTAATTCTAAATATGAGATTTTCTTTCATTTTTCTTGCTGATATATTTAAATGGATAAATATATTTCTAATGTTGATGTTTGTTCGACTTTTGAAAAACAAAAGTTCATCAAGAGAGATAGTTGACATTTATATAAGTTAGTCATTTTATTGCTTTAACTCTTTTGCATGATTGCCATAGTGAACTAGTGAAAAAAATTTTCGAATAGCGCCTGTTGATTCCTAGGATGACTTGAATGTTAGTAATGTTCCAACTCTAGAACAATTGTCTCTTGCTTGTTGATGATTTTGAGCGATTATTGTCAACAATATATTCTTGTTAATAGCGAGCTCGATTAGAGAAGAAAGATCAATTTTACAAAGAAATTATTCAGCATAATTCATATGAATATCGTATACAATAAGTACAGCTAAATGAGCAAAGTCAATGTTAGTTCTCATCGCTGTTGTTTTCTCTCATTGTTCAAGTTGATTAATTATCTCGAGTGTTTTAAGTCGAGGCAAAGCTTGAGTAACACGTTCAAAGAAAATACTTTCAAAAGGTTTGACGTCATCAAAAAGTAACAGAATAGTAACATTTGAGAACGTGTTATTAATATCAAAGAGTGGAAATCGATTTAATATAAAGTCAAGACGAGTACCAACAAATGGAATTGAATAGATTTGACATTGTTCATATTTATTTTTGAAATGATCAAGTATACAATCAAATTGTTGTTGTTGTTTTATACAACTTTGACGAATTTGATCAATTGTTATATGAGAAGCATTTTTTAAGATTAAACAAATATGGAAATTAAATTGCCGTAAACGAAACATGTATGGAAGAATATTTCTCTCTAACACAAATCCATCAATAAAATGATTTGGTGTAGTAACATCTTCGCTTATAGCTAATAATAGTGTTAAATATTCGATATTCGACAAACGTTGTAGAAGAGAGATACATGGTTCGTAGTTACCAAAATTTTGATATATTGTCATTGTCATTTGTTTCAAATTAGGACACGAGATCTAAATCAGTAAATTTCTTTGAAATATCAAATCGAGAAATCTTACTTACTGATCTCAATTTAGACTTTAAAGGAAGTATGTGATTATGAACGTCTGCTACAGTCACTGTGAATGAACTGAGTTGTGAGCCCAATTGATTCAGTAAATGGACGCATTGATTGAAATGCCATAAAGATATACGGATATGAGTTAGTCGAGTTACTTGATCGAAGCGCAATTCTCCATAGGTAAGACTTTCGACTAAACTACTGTTATCATCAAGTTCAAACGATTGAACAGAACGCATCAATGATGAACGAATCAAGGTAGCTACTTCTTTGCCAATACCAAAGTTGGGCAGAAAAAAAAATACCACGGTACAATTGTGAAGAGAGATTTGCGCCATGCAAAGCTGGATATTCAGTGGTTTTCTAAAAAACATATACGAGTGTCACACTATGATATTTGCCAAGTTAGTTATTTTAGGTACTGACAATAGAATAAATCGACAAGAAGACTTCTATCTTTTTTCTAGTTATGCTTATTGAGAGAAAAGTTTTGAGATGTAAAAAACGATGTCATAGATCTAGGAAAATTTTTATTGATTATTTTCAATTGTGTAGTGATTCTCTAAACAGAAGTAACGAATGAATTTTTCCACCTAGAACATCAATAAGAGATTGTGAAATTCTCAAATGAGAAAACGGTATTTCTTTACTCAGTAGAAAATTAACTAAAATGATAGACAAAGACAGTTTACATAAATTCGATTAATAATAAGTGACCCATTGTATAAGGTATGCCTGTTTCAGACGTTTAGCACACAGCTGAATTATAAAGTGTCAGATTTGGAACAGTTCCATTGCAGTTATTTTCAACAAAAGTTTTAATAGACGAAATATGATGATGACTGATTGTAAATGATTGAATATCATGGCTGATACGATGCATGGCATGAGAATAAAACTGTTTCATAAGTAGTTGACGTGTCGCTGAAAGATAATCAAAAGTTAAATCAATTGAATGACATCTATATCAAATGCAAGCTGTTCCAAACGATTATTACCAATATCAATCATAGAACAAAGCAATAACACTTGAGGAATTACTTTCTTCATAATAGCTAATACTGATTCATCAGGTAAATCAAGCAGTCAAACAACATCTTTCATGCAGAAGAATCATCGAATTAATCATATTCTAAAGTAGATACATACTCATATTTGATGAAGAGTTCATTGTTGATATGTTGTGTCCACCTAGATATGCATATATATGTATATGAAGATCTTTAGAATTGACATATAATAGGAGTGGACTAGTGGCATAACTAAAAAACCATAGATGATAGAGCATCATTCCATAGTCTTTGATAAAATTGATCCGAAATAGTGTTGAGCAATGCTGGTTATTAGATTTTTTTTCTTTTTTCTACTAGTTGTATAAGAACAGACTAGCCCACTGGTAGTTACGACATATTTAGATATGTTTTTCTGGAACTCTCACAATATTTAATTTAGGCATTCTTGAAAAGTTTCTTTAAAATACAATGACAAATGAAAAACAATCTTTTGCAAAAAATACATATTTTATCATATGTTTGAAGATATAGACAAGGATTTTAAGTTAGATGTTCTTAGGATCAGTTCAAATAATGTCTATCAATTGCATTGTTTTATTTTAGAATATTTTGTTCAAGCTATTGAAATGTGATCTCGCGACAAAAAGAATAATATTCATGAACATATTTCAATATGTTTTATTGTCTTACTAAACATAATTTTTATTATTTTTCTATTGACATGTTGATTTGAGACGATAGATTTATATTATTGTTATTCTTTAATGATTTTTTACTATTATTATTCACATGAGTGAAAACAATAAAGATGTATTTAGATATTCTTTGCTCAATATATATTCTCAATTTAGTTGTAAAAGAAAATAAACTACTCAAAACATCATTTTCTCTTAGCTTCACACAGAAACAGTTCTCTTAAATAAGGAAAAATAGTTCTAATAATTTGAAATGTATTTTTTATTGTCATCTTTCACGAACTCTGGATTTTTAAATCATATAACGGGGTGACCGAAAGTTTTGAGACAAAATCTCTGGTTAAGAAAGACGGTTTAAACGCATGGATCTACCCCTCATTTTTATACTGCTTTGTAGCCCGTCTGATTCTCTTTCTACATATATATCACGTTTTTTGAACATGAGTTCGTATGTGTCGAAGCGAGTTGATCTTCGAAGAAGAGTGTATGCTCTACTTGGAGAAATGACGAAAATTGATATTGTCAAACATTTTCAAATAGAAAACATTCCACGGCCAATTATTTGTCGTATCATCCAACGTTTCGAAGATTGTCTACCATGCGAAGATAAGCCAAGAAAAGGACGTCCATCCAAATTGAATAAGAAACAACAACAAAAGTTGAAAGAGTGTGCCGAAAATCGTGTTAGTATCAGCCAAAAAAGTTGGCCATGAAATTCAAGGTCTCACGGTCGTGTATTCAACGAAATTTGAACAAATTAGGTTTGAAGTATTACAAGAGACAACGTGCGCCAAAATACAATTCAAAACAGCTTCAACAAATACCTAGCAATTGTCGAAAACTACGCCGGAAAGTGACAAATCGTGAAACAGTCATCATCATCGACTACGAAAAATATTTCACATATTCGGGCGACAACATGTCAGGAAATGCTGGATTTTACTCGTCTAATAATCGAGACACTCCACCGGACGTGAAATTCAAATCCAAAGAGAAATTTGCACCTAAAGTACTAGTTTGGTTGGCATTATCCAGCAAAGGTATTTCAGCACCATTCATTGGAACGACAAAAGTTCCAGCAATAAATCGTTATATATATATATTAAAGAATGCTTACCAAAACTGATGACATTTATCAACGAACATCATCAACACGATAATTATATATTTTGGTCGGATCTGGCCACCTCACACTATGCCAAAACAACGACTGAATGGCTTAATGAACATAAGATACCTTTTGTACCAAAACGCATCAATCTGCCAAATGTTCTAAAGGCTCGACCGATCGAGGATTTCTGGTCGATATTAGCTGATAAGGTATACAACGGAGGTTAGACGGCTATTTTGTAAATATATAATTCTATTCATTTGATATCATTGTAGTTTTGATAAAAAAAATGAGAAAATAAAAGTGAAACACGATATAGAAGTAAATGTTTTACTTTTGTCTCAAAACTTTCGATCACTCCGTTATCTGTTGTTCAACACCAATACATATAAATTTTAATTCATTTAAATTTTATTGTTATCAAAAACAAAAACTCATGTATGAAATGAATCTATTTGCAAAAAAAAAAATACTTTTCTACAATAAAATTATACAAATGCAGTTGTCTGTTGAATATAATGAACATCAGATATATGTATTGAGTTATTAACTAAATGATCGATTCATTTCTATGTAGTCTAAATATCACAAAAAAAAACATTCTATGAATATATTGTTTGCATAGATGATATGATTTCTGTTGGTATTACCCAACTAAAATGATGTTTATTTCCGCAGTATAAAGATAATATATCATTATGGTTATATTGATCGGTAATAACTGAAATACGATATGAATCGTCTGCTCTTACTACGCAATGATGTCCAAAAAGAGTCTATTTTTGTATATCATACCATATCTTGATTTGACTTTTTGTCAATAATTCAAGGACAAACACTTTGGACTTCAATTGAAACAAAGGCTTGACTATATTATTTGTAAACAATGCAATAAAAATTTGCTTGTTTTTCATTTTATAGATTACGTTAGTTTNTAGAATTAATCGAGACTAGTCTCATTTGAAAGAGCAGATCACAATGCGTAGAATGACGTTTTCAGAATTTTGTGCAAATGAACTTTGGTAGCAAAACTTTTTTGAACAAGACTAGAAAGGTCAAATTTGGGGTCCGATTCTCACTGTGAAGACTAATGATTTATTGTCAAATGTTCAATCTAAGTATTTCAGATGAAAGCCCGTGCCGAAAAATCTCTAAATTCAAAATTTCAGCTCACTTGAACATGTCTGTAAAAAATAGTGAAAGCTTATTTTTGTGAAACTTTATGGGACAGCATATATAGTCTGTCTAATTTTTCTAATATCCGTATTTCAATTAAAGTACAACCAAAAGATCTGAAATTTTTACCATGAACTATTCACATCAAGTCCTTCATAAATGCGAAGTTTCAAGTCAAAATTCAAACTTTGATTTTTTTTCATCATCCTGAGGGAACCACGGCAATTTCCCATAGGTAGTTCGTAAAATAATCAAAGTTTTAATTTTGACTTGAAACTTTGCATTTATGAAGGACTTGATGAGAACAGTTCATTGTAAAAATTTCAGATCTTTTGGTTGTACTTTAATTGATATACGGATATTAGAAAAATTCGACAGACTATATATGCTATCCCATAAAGTTTCACAAAAATAAGATTTCACAATTTTTTACAGACATGTTCAAATGAGCTGAAATTTTGAATTTAGAGGTTTTTCGGCACGGGCTTTCATCTGAAATACTTAGATTGAACATTTGACAATAAATCGTTAGTCTTCACAGTGAGAATCGGACCCCAAATTTGGCCTTTCTAGTCTTGTTCAAAAAAGTTTTGCTACCAAAGTTCATTTGCACAAAATTCTGAAAACGTCATTCTACGCATTGTGATCTGCTCTTTCAAATGAGACTAGTCTCGATTAATTCTACGGCGCTGATTTGACCAATTGGTCCTATACACTGGAATCCTGTTGTTTGAAAATGACATATAGTATAAAGCAAATATTATCTTACGATAAGATAGCCCATGGTCAATAGTATATATGGTAAAAAAATCTCGATTATATCTCTTGTCGTTTTTTAGAAAATGAAAATTTACTGAAACATTTTGTGCTGAAAGGTACTCCAAAAATAGCCTATCCCCTCATACTTGCAACGTCTTATCTCCACAGATTGGCT